TTGGCCAAGAATATCGAAATGTTAGTTCTTTGAAACTAAGCTCAACAGTTTAAAGATTGTAACCACGAAAACCTCGCACTTTGTAAGTGCATGTTCTTTTATGTTTAGTATCACGGTCATAAGTAGGCATCGAAAACAATCTTGGATAGTCCAAGATCTAGATCACATACGTTCTGGAAAAAGCCCTGATAGCCCAAGTTTTATCGAGTCCATGCTGCCAATCAGCAGTAATTTTGAGAGGGTGAGACTTCAAAATACTTCAGTCACCGTGTAATAAATAGGTCGAGGCAGCTGTCAGCGGACAGAGGTGTGTTTAGTTGGGAGTAACTATATTTGATTTCCTCAAATGGCAGCCTAATGATCTTATTATGAAAGTTACGTACCGTTGAAGAATCCTGATCTATCGAATTCTGTGCCACCTGTGCCAATCAAAAGCATGTTGTTATATGTCACACACATGATCTAGTAACTTAAAGTACTGATGCCACGTTTTGGTTTGGCCGCCCCTAATTTTCTTCCAACCATCCCCAACACTAGTCAGTATTGCGCGCCGTGATTATCGGTAACTTACCCGATGATCCCATAACCGTAAAGATGTGAGAAATATTTATAAGGCATCTGTGGTCAAATACTAGTAGCTTACGAGTATCTTCTACTCTTAATGGCCACGTTTCGCAGCCGTAAAATAGAACAGAACGAACTGACGCGCAGTATACTCGTCCCCTAATTGATAGACGGATATCTCGCCTTCGCCAAACTACATACATGAATAAGAACTTAGTGCAGTGTTATTGCACGTCTCAGTGTGGAAGTGTTATTGGAAATGTAACCAGGGGTGATATCTTCACGAACTGGAAACATCGACGTGCAGAAAAGATAAAGACCACCTGTGGATCAAATCAGAGTGTGTCGGTTATCTCCCTGAACCAGATGTATTAGAAATGATTAAAAGGGCTCCAAACGAAAATCAAATTAAAAAACAAGTTCTTAATAATAAGATTTTCATGAAACACTTCTATAGTACAATAATATATAACTAAGATGATGAGAATGACTCACTCTACAATAATAATTAATAAATAACTGAAAACCAGTGTTGTAAACTATAGAAATAGTAAATTACTTACTCGTGTTTTCCCATATGTGTAGGAACAACTTTATCGGTTATTTTATAAAATTCGTTGTTTGTATATATGTTTTTTTCACCATTATAAAATGTGCCGTTACCCAATCGACTATGACAAGTTCCGTTTCGCACTTCACCCTATAAAATGCAATACTCTGTAAAACCAGGATGCTATCTTTCCTGTAAAACATTTAAATAGCAACAAGTATCAACGCGCTAACCGTATGCGAAGATGAAAGCCTATATATATATATATATATATATATATATATATATATATATATTGCCTGCACAATTGGACTCATTTTTACTGATATAAAGAAACACAACAAAAATGAATTAGATGCCGCAACGTAGTAGTGTGGGGTGTGCTAGTGATGCCGACAAGTAATTATCGGTAATTATCGTCATTTCATTTTATTTGTGTATAAGTATGTATCACCAATCAGAAGTGGAATGTCTGGCGGCAGGTTGAAAAAGACGAAGAGAAGAGAACGATAACAGAGTCATTGGTGTGGAAACGAAGGAAAAATCAAGTCTGAGACAGTTGATTGACATTTGGCAAATGAAGTATTTACTGTATAGTTCTCAGATCTTACTGGGATATTCTGTAATTTTGTGTTTAAATACGTTTGGTTGTCCCCACTGCTATTCTCGTTCACTACAATACTACCGTGACAATTTGTAACTGTTCAAACTTAGAGGGAATAGGTGACACTACGGGTGGGGAAGCCTTTCATCCAACGTAAGACGTCGGAAAAAATATACCCAGCGATATCCCAAGGAGACCCAAAGGAAACAAATGAGAGTGTTCAAACTAACTCTCGACCAAATCAATGCTGACGCAATCAGTATGAGATAGATTAACTAAACTGATAATATCTGGATGTGAGTTAAAATGCTCTTGTGGAACTAGTCGAATCAGCCGTACACAGGACTTATTATTTAGCATGGGTCAAGGTAGTTGGGAAGAGTAATTCGATGCTAAAATAAACTAACCTGTTTGCAGATAAAAAATACATTAGTAATTATTGAATTTGGTAGAAAATATACTGTCGTAGTTAGCGCCATATCAACTGATTGATCTAAAGCTACATAATAACAAACAGATAAATACCATTTAGTTCTTCTACTAAAACCCTGGAAGTTAGAATTCCGTTTGATAACGAAAATATACACACTTGACGAATTTGTTTTTCATATGATACGTAAGTTGCACTGGGGAGCATAAAATGGATCAACGTATTCTTACATTATTTCTGTGTATTCTAAGTCGATAAGTGGACCTCCTGGTAGGAGATCAGTGCCAAAAAATCCAGTCGACGAGAATGTTATTTCCATCAGTATGTTTATGATGACGTTGAACAAAAATGGAAATAGTGGACAGCCTTGAAGGACACCACTCGAGGTTGCAAAAGCAGATGACAGTTCGCCATAAGCTCTCACTCGATTAGTAGTCTTCGAGTAAAGAGCCTTCACAAGGTTTATGTACTACTGGGGTACGCCTTTCAATGACAGACACTGCCACAGAATCTCGCGGTCTACGGAGTCAGATGATGCTTTTAAGTCAAGAAAGACCACTATTGTCGGACGCCGATAGGCATGTCTGTGTTCTATAACCTGACGAATGGTGAATCCGTGGTCGATGCAGCCACGACCAGGTCTGAAGTCAGCCTGATTTTCTCATGTTTGCAGTTCACGAGTCTTAGTTAGGCGTCCGATAATTATTGAGGCTAGTATTTGAGATGCTATATTAGTTAAACCAATCCCTCTATTGTTATCAGAGGATGATTTTGACCCTTTCTTATATATTGGGACGATAGGTGATTGTGACTAGTCAGATGGGATAACGTCTAACTCCCAGATTTTAGCTAAAATATTAGTCAACCTAATAGCTAAAATCGGACCACCATCCTTAAAGACCTCTGGAGCCAATCCATCTGGACCAGCTGCCCTTCCTCGTTTCAGATTAACTATAGCCTTTTGAACTTCAGCAAGAGTTGGGGGACCTACTTCAATGTCCCATTCACAGTGTCTGGGAATGGAGGGTAGTTGTAGAGTAGCTGAAGGCCAGCTGAACTGTTCTCTAAACTGTTCCGCCCATCGTTCTAAACGTCTGGACTGGGAGCAGATGAGAGTATCGTCTTTTTCCGATATAATCTCACTTACACTTGACTTACTAGTTCCAGTTTCTTCTATTAGTCTGTAGAGCTGTCTTGTGTTCCCTATAGCCGCCGCCTTTTCCATCTCTTTTGCTTTCGTTGCCCACCACTGCTCACGGTCGTTCCTCAGACTTTTGGTTAACCTAGATCTGATTTGTTTTCGATCTTCATCGTGTTCAGAACCTGATGGGATGGGTTCACGAGAATCCATTAGTGTATTAGACCTTGAAGAAATCCATTGGCTCTTCGTGACCCTGTGGTTTATATCACTAATAGACGTCACTTCTGTTTCCACAGCTGCTTGCATATCCTTCCAAGCAACATCTGGGTCAGCCTCGTTTTCAAAACTACCTAAGTGTGACCTCAGTTGTTCCTGGAACCTACTTTTGGTTTTCTCGTTACTCAACTCAGTTCTAATGGGTCTTTTTAATGTGGCTTTTTTGCGTCCAGTGAGGCGCAAGCAGATGCGTGATCGTATAAGAGCATGATCGGAGTCTAGGCAGGTACTCCAGAATGAGCGACAATCTTCTACCCACCCTCTCCAACGATGACTGATGGCAATACGGTCTATTTATGTACATCGTTGGTTTGGTGTAGGGGATCGTCATGTTAAACGATGTCTCTCCTTATGCTTAAAATTTGTGTTTGCTAAAAATAAACGATTGTCTGAGCACAGTTATTATTATTATTATTATTATTCACAAACATCTTATGGGTACATAAGTGTTGTGAAGAAACCATTTCGGGTTTCTTCAGAAAATGCAATAATACACAATTTCCAATAATGTTAGCATTATACTTGCCATATTTAAAAAAAAATAATAATAATAATAAAATTAAAATAAAAAATTGAGAATAACAATAGTAGAATATTAATAATAATAAATGGGGTCTTTGTAATTGAGAAGAATAATGAATTGAGTTTGAAGAAGGAAATGGAGAAAATAAGGGAATAGGAATAAAGGAGACGTGAAATACGCAAACAGTCTAATAGGCGTGTTTATGAACACAGAACAAGAATAAACGACTATGTGTATCGTTAAATTAGTAAGAAAAAATAATTTATCATTGTAGTAAGATATGACACTAAAATAAATGTTTGTGCAGTTATAATTTAGAGTGATGCTATGAAAGTCACAATTTCGTGAAAAGGATAATAAAATATCATATATGCATAGTGAAGATAAAACGAATCTGAGAAGTTAATTAAAGTGTAACACAAGTTATTGTTTTAATTACAAACTTCGTAATCTTAAGAATAATATTTATTTAGAGGGAAAGAAGAGAAAGAAAAGAAGTGAACACCTAGTGAAAAGATTCATCCATGATAAGAATAATAATTGTGTAATGAATATCAACCTCAGAAGGAAACCAGAAATTTTTTTAAAAAAATCCTTTAAAGCACTCGGATGAATACATTTAGATTTATGTAATAGTATACAGAGTGAAACCGGATATTAGTATAAATATTTGTGCAATAATAATTAAGATTGATGGTATGAAAGTCAAAATTGATTTCAAAGGACAATCTGGAGTTAAATATGTTTAGAAGGATAAGAAGATACAAAAAGAATATCTAATGTGTCGGAAAACTAATAATGATATTAATAACGGTAACACGAACATAATCAGACTTCATATATTAAGATAAAGAGAAATAAAACAAAATAGACGTGAAAAGATTTAAAGGTTTTATTTTGCTTTTCAAGCAATTAATTAAATGACGGACCTTGTTTGTATAAATCATTATTGAATACATTGATATTCAATAGGTGACATAATCCACTTTCGGAAAGAAAATCATCAAGGAGACTTTTGAACCGGGTTGTAGTTTCACTGCAACGGAGGTTCACTGGCAGTCTGTTCCACATGGTTGAGTAGCGAATAAGGAAAAAATTCTGACGTAAGTTTGTGTGGGTTCTTGGAATCGCTAGAATGTTCTCCTTATTGCGTAGATTGTGGGATGATATTATAAGGTATGAAGGGGTAGATACCGATGAGTAGGAAATACCGTTAATGAGCCTGTAGATAAAGACAAGATTTAATTTGATACGTCTGATCCAAAGAGGTTCTAAGTTGAGTTGTTGACATCTTTGGTAATAGTCTTTGTTATCGGAATACCCCAGAGCAGCTTTGGTAAACTTTCTTTGAACACCTTCAATTCTAATCAGATCATTATGTCTACAATTACTGTAAACTAAAATACCATATTCAAGAATGGGTAAGATACATTTTCTGTATAGTAACAATCTCGATTCGATATTATTGAAGTTTATCATTATCAATCCGATCAGCTTTCTAGCTTTGGATACTTGAGATATAATGTGTTCAGAAAAGTTCAGACTGTTGCTATATCTTAAACCCAGGTCACGAACAGTGTTGAGAGGTTTGAGTGTATGTGTCTGTACAGTCAGATTTAAGTTAAGACAGTGACCAATGTGAATAAATCCGCTCTTGTCAACATTAAGGGGCATATTCCACGAAATAGTCCATTCGTACAACTTGTTTATTTCCTCCTGGATTACCGCAGAAATATAGCTTTCTTTCGTGGGAGAAGAGAATGAATAAACTACTTTCAGGTCATCAGCAAAAAGGAAAGGCTTACCATATTGAAAGAGGGAACACACATCATTGATAAAAAGGAGAAAGAGTAATGGACCAACCACACTTCCTTGTATAACCCCACTGGTTACATTTACAGGTTTAGAGTAGCAAGATCCAAAGCGAACGATTTGGCTACGTTCTTCTAAAAAAGATTTGAGCCAAGATAAAAGGGGATTCTGTATGCCAAATGAAGAGAGTTTTAAAAGAAGAAGTTTGTGTGGGACACTGTCGAAAGCTTTACTAAAATCGAAGTAAAGAATTATCACTGACTGACCAACATCTCTTCTCTGGGTAATTTGATCAAAAAACTCCAGGTGCGATGTGAAACATGAGCGTTTAGTCATGAACCCGTGTTGGGATGGGCTGATCAGACTAGCTGAAAGTAAAAATGATAGTAGCTGTTTGTGGATGATTTTTTCCATGGTTCTTGAGAGCACGGATGTCAAATTAATTGGCCTATAGTTAATAATATCACTACGTGGTCCTGTTTTGAATCTAGGGGTGATAAGGGATGTTTTCCATACAGATGGATAGGTCCCATATTCCATAGATAGATTGAAAAGTTTCAAACAAAATAGTGGGAATTCTTTACTTCCATATTTCACAAATGATGTAGGTATCCCGTCAGGTCCACCATCATAAGACTTTTTCAGGGCAGTTATGGCCTGCTTGATGTTGGAGGGTGTGAAATCAATTTTCGACAGATGTCTGGATGTCAGCATTGGAAATGTAATGATGGAGCTTTCAGTTCTAGTCTTGTAGCACTGCGAGAAGTGCTTGCTGAATTGTTCGCATATAGTATTCGGGTCGTTAACAATGCTTCCGTTAACTATGAAGAATTTGGTAGTGCCAAGGGAATTTTACTTTACACGGGATTTAAAAAGTCGAAGTATTGATAATTCTGGGCTTTTACTACGTAGAGCTTTATTTTCTATATTCATGAAACACTTATGTTTAGATGAAGCATGTCTGTCGATTAATTTAAGTATACTCTGAAGTGCATACACATCATTCTGCTCATAGTAGCGGTATTTTAATTTCCTCAGCTTTCTTTTAAAAGTATTTTGGCCCCTATTAGCATTATAAGCCACACGGCCAATAACTGGAGCAGTGCGATCAAGACAATATATCAGGTTGTGATATAAATTGGAAAGCGCAATGTCAACATTATTTGTGGTAAAATAAGTTTCCCATGGTAAACATCGAATGAGAGTTTCAGTCCGTTTCCATGTTTGTTGATCAAAATATCTGCTCTGGTACGTCATTGAAGCTTTAGAGTTCAATTGTATGGCGTTTAAACAGTGAATAATGCTCAATACAACTCTATGGTCACTCATAAAAAACTCATGACTGGTATGCACTGAGATAGAGTCTATGTTGATTGTGAACATTAAATCAAGTGTATTATTCCCCCTGGTTGATTTTCGGACCTGTTGAACCCATCCACAAATTTCTAATGTTTCAACTAGCTTGTTATATCGACCTGGTACCGAAGTCAAGCCCCATGTAATTTTTGGCAGATTAAAATCACCTCCGATGATTTTAAAAGTATGCGGTTGATGCGAAGCAACGGAAAATATGTTTGTTAGTAATCTGTCAAACTTAGTATCCGCATGAGGTGGTCTAATTATGCATCCCACCAGTAAATAATTTTGGGATCCACAGTTTACAGTAACCCAAGTGGAGTCTTCTATAGCATCAAGGGATTTATCCTCAAATTTGCACGCTTGAATGTCTGAACGGACATAGATAATTGTACCGCCTCCTATTCCATAACATCTATCGGTTCTAAAGAAAACGTAGTTATCTACATTCAAGGAATGATCGGATATAGATGAATTACACCACGTTTCCGTAATAAGTACAATGGTTGGATTTACAAGGAATAAAAGAGTTTTAAGATGAATAATTTTATTAGACAGAGAGCGGGCATTGAACGAAAGAATAAGAAACTCAGAGTCATCATAGTGAAGCAGGTTGGAGTATAAATCGCAATTGGTAGTTCCATGAATACTCATAGGTGTAAGATCCATTTTGAATTGCCTTATGTGTTTGTGAAAATCCCTCCATGTATATACTTGTACTTTGTTCCTATTGATTCCCTTAGTTGTACATTGTTGTATTTTGATTACATTTGAGTTGTTAATACTTGTATTTTTTATTATAGTTTTTGTTTTTCTTACGCGTTCACTAAGTTCGTGTTTCTTCCTGAACTGCATTTGTGTTGTTTTACTTGACACTTGTTCTTGGCGGTAGCCATATTGATTTGTTCCTCCTGTTGTGTGTGATCTATCCAGCCAGGATAGAATAACGTTGATTTGTTGTGATTGGTAATTTCTCCTCATCTTCTATCAACTTCTTTATTATTGTAATTTAGATTTAATTGATTGAACAATCATTGGTTGAATAGCCGGGTGGTAATATTTGTTTAGGTAATGATTTACATTAAATTTATTATGAATTATAGAACCGCTAGTTACCCGATTACTTGTTCTGATTTTGACGGGAAAGAGCGCGTGTCTAAAAATCCCCGATCGGCTATTCTTCAACATCCAAACCGTAGTTTGGATTCTACAGTTCTAAACAATTATTAATTGGCCGAAGTCGTTTGGCAATCGTTCGCGGATTTGATTATCGTTTCTGGAAATATTTGGTCGTTTCGTCTATAATGCCAACTAATCGTCGAAGGAAATCAAGTTCAAAGTTCGTTGATGTTAATGAAGAATCCCCTATTACCAAGCAAGTGCCTTTTGATGTCCTTAAGTGTCATGGTTCAGACTCGAATAGGGTTGATTATCATGGTAGTGACTCTAGTCTTAATTCGATGACAGATGACGTAAGAAATCTTAGTTTAAAGGAGAAGCAAAGGCTTGAATTATCAGGAAGAAGCGTTTTGCCTATAGCGCCTGTTGTTGGTCTAGAACTACCAAAGGTTGAATTGAGTTATTTTGATGGAGAGCCAAAAGGATACTGGAAGTTTATAAGACAATTTGAGACGTATATAGCATCAAGAGTCACCGATGATAGCCAACGTTTGCTCTATCTCATGCACTATTGTAAGGGCAAGGCGAAGACAGCTATCGAAGGTTGTGTCATGATGGAAGCATCCTCTGGTTATAAGAGAGCAAGGGAAATTCTAAAGCGTTTGTTCGGTCAGTCTCATGTAATCGCTCGAGAAACATTAGAAGATTTATTTAATGCTGTTAATTTTGATTATACTGACGGGGAGCAACTATCAAACTTGGCCATTAAAATGGAAAACTGCGCTATGGTCTTAGAACAGATGAATTATAACTCTGATCTAAATTCGTTAGTTACTTTGGAAAGAATAGTAAGACTATTACCTCAAGTTATGCAAGCCCAGTGGGCGGATCGGGTGGATCAATTGACGGAAGATAATAGAGAACCGACTTTTGACGAGCTTACCCAATTTATAGCGTCCCGCGCAAGAGTAGCTAATAGTAGGTTTGGACGGTTAGCGAGTCGTCCGAGAAAGGGACACAACTTAAAGACAAATTGTCACTTGCAATTAGAGCAGGAGGGTAACTCTAGAGCTAAATGCAGGGTGTGCTCCCAGGACCACGCTATTTATAAATGTCCAAAATTTTTAGCGCTTACCGTTCAAGAGAGATGGTCTCAAGCAAAAGTTAATGGCATCTGTTTTGTCTGCCTTAGGCAAGGGCATAAAGTTAATGAATGTAAGCTGGCGAAACGTTGTAACGTTAATGGTTGTGAGAAGAAACACCATTCCTTGCTGCACAGCGAAAATGATAAATCTGATATCCCGAATTGTTGTGGATTTACTAAATCCCTAAGTAGCCAAGTGTGCCTAGGAATGATCCCTGTACGGTTGATGTTAGGAGATGCCGAAATGGTAGGTTATGCTTTGTTGGATAACGGGTCTGATGTAACGTTGATAAAATCGAGCTGTTTGAGGTGTCTCGGGCTGAAGGAAGACCGAGCGTCAGTGGTAGTAGAGACTGTGGGTGGTAATAGGACAATGACGGTCACAAAGACCCCTTTTGAGGTATATTCTCTAGATCGGTCAGGACATGTTACGATCGAAGGAGCTCTGATTGTGGCAGGTATACCAGGTCATAAGCCAACAAGGTCGGCAGTGGACAACCTAGTTAAATGGCCACATTTAAGGGATGTACCAATAGATAACTTCGACTCTGAAGAAGTTCTGCTGTTGATTGGTTGCGACGTACCAGAAGCACACTGGGTGTTAGACCAGCGGTTGGGTGGAAGAAAAAGCCCGTACGCTGTGAAGACGTTGCTGGGTTGGACGGTTTTCGGACCCGCGTCGTATCCGGAATATAGGAAAAGAATGGTCAATCATACCAGTAAGATACAGACCTTGGAGAACGAAATACGTAAACTTTATGATGTAGAGTTTTCTGACGTTTATTCAAATGATAAATCAGTATCACTAGAAGATAAGGCGGCTATAAGGATTGTGGAAAGGGGCACACGCTTCGAAAATGGGCATTTTGTAGTTCCTATACCATGGAAAGTGAACCCAAATATGAAAGGGGAGTATTATGAAGTGGCAAGCAGTAGACTACAGAGTTTGAAGCGTAGATTGTTGAAAGATGACATTCTGTATATCAAGTATACAAAAGGTGTTGAAAGTAACTTTATTAAGGGCTATGCGGAGAAGATCCCTGAACTACAATTGCAACCTAGTTATCGCCCTCGGTGGTACTTGCCTCACCATGCAGTTATAAACCCGAAAAAGCCAGAAAAACTGAGAGTAGTTCTTGACTGTGCCGCCAAGTTTGCAGGCGTTTCTCTAAACGATATGATTTATCAAGGACCCGACACAACGGCTGAGTTAGTGTGTATATTATTGCGTTTTCGCAAAGAGGCAGTCGCAGTCTCTGCGGATGTTGAAGAAATGTTCATGCAAGTAAAGGTCCCTGAGTCTGATCGAGGAGCTTTAAGATTTCTGTGGTGGCAGAGGGGAGACATGTCGAAAGAACCATCCGAGTTTCAAATGACATCTCATCCATTTGGCGCCATATCATCGCCGTTTTGCGCGAACTTTGCCTTGAATAAGACAGCCCAAATATTCTCTGACGGTTATGATGGTTATGTCGTAGATGCTGTTAAGAATAATTTCTATGTTGATGACTGCTTGGTATCTTTCCCCACTTGTGATCAAGCAAAGAGTTTCGTCAAGCAGATAAGTGAATTATTATGTAGAGGAGGCTTCAAACTAAAGAAATGGGTTACCAACTCCGAGGAGGTAAGGGCCATCTTGCCTGATGTATGTAAAGAACAGTCCTTGATAGAAATGTCAACGGATTACGACACCACTCATCGAACCCTAGGTGTAGAATGGGATTTTAAACAAGATGTATTTAAGTTTTACTTTGATGCACCGGAAAGGCCTCCGACTAGGAGAAGTATTTTATCTATAGTTTCTTCTCTGTTCGATCCTCTGGGTCTGATTGCTCCAGTCTGTCTTAATGCCAAACTTCTCTTGCAAAAATTATGTAGGTCCCAAATAGGCTGGGATCAGCCTCTCAACGAGCCATACATGTCCACGTGGCTAGGCTGGGTAAGGTTTATGCGTCAGATAGGTCACGTCACGGTAGCTCGAGGTATCAAGAGGAAAATCGACGAACCCGACGCGAAAGTGGAATTGCACTTGTTCAGTGATGCTTCAGAGGTTGGTTATGGAGCAGTTGCGTACGCACGAGTCAGCTATTTGAAGGAGCCACCATATTGTATCTTGTTGTACAGCAAGTCTAGGGTAGCACCTATCAGACAAGTCACTATACCGAGACTTGAGATGGCGGCAGCGGTGTTAAGTGTGAGGCTTAGTGAAGTATTACGGAGAAGTCTGCCTAATTTTTTCTGCGAAGTAAACCTCCATACAGATTCCATGATAGTGTTATACTACATTAAGAATATTGAGAACCGATATTGCACCTATATAGCCAACCGCCTCGCTGTGGTGCACCAGTATACGAAGGTTGAACAATGGAATTATGTGAAGTCGTCACAGAATCCAGCTGATTGGACATCAAGAGGTATACAAAAAATGACTGATCTGGAATCTTGGTTCAAATGTCCTACCTTACTGCATGGCGAATTCTGTACAACAATCACTGACTGTCCGGAACCTACTCCTGACGATATTGAGTTTAGAAAAACTGCTGTGGTTAACTTGAGTAGTATAAAGCACAACATGTCACCTATTCTCTCTTATTACTCCGAGTGGTTGAAATTAGTCAGGGCCGTAGCCTGGCTTAGAAGGTTCATAGAATTTCTGATGGTGCTTCGTTCACCGAGTCATGAAGGATCCGTTCATCTAGGGTGTTTAAAGGTCAAAGAACTTGACGTCGCCAAGCGTAAGATTTTATTGATGGTTCAGAGAGAAGTGTATGGAGAATTACTTAGTGAATTTAAGAACAGCAGTAAAGTAATAAGCCATGATGATCTGAAAGGTTTATCGTTGATGATGCTTGATGGGTTACTCGGCGTTGGAGGTCGACTAAGATACTCAGATTTCCAAAATGCTTTTAAACATCCAGTAATTTTACCCAGTCGACACTTAGTGACGGAAATGATAGTTAGACATTGTCATAAAGAACAAGGACACATAGGAAGATCATTAGAAAAAGGGTATGGATATGTGTTTACTTGTTTGCAAACATGGGCAGTACATATTGAAATGATGTGTAATTTGATTTCTGATTCATTTTTAATGGCTCTATTACGCTTTATTGGAAGAAGAAGGAAACCTCCAGAGATTTACAGTGTCAGTGCGTCAAGCTTCGTGGGGACAGTTTCTGAGTTAAGCAAGTTTGTGCAGCAGTCGAATCAGAAGATAAACATTGAATTGTCAGCCAGGCCCTCATCCAACAGCATGGGTGGAGTTTGGGGAAGAGTGATTAGGTCTATATCACGACTGTTATCGTTGACCACCAGAGAACAGGTGAAGCAGGTCTCCTTGAAGCTTTGGATTAGTCTTTGTTGTTATTAATGTAGTTAGGTCGAGTAGGCGTACTGTTGTAAGTCCTACTCGTTCCTATGATGCGATATGTTATATAATGAACCATGACCGTAGGCATCAAGGTAGCTTGTGTGGTATGGAGGGATTTTGGGGGCCGGTGTAAGATCCATTTTGAAGGTTTTGTGTGTTGGTGAAAATCCCTCCATGTATATACTCGTACTTTGTTCCTATTGATTCCCTTAGTTGTACATTGTGGTATTTTGATTACATTTGAGTTGTTAATACTTGTATTTTTTATTATAGTTTTTGTTTTTCTTACGCATTCACTAAGTTTGTGTTTCTTCCTGAACTGCATCTGTGTTGTTTTACTTGACACTTGTTCTTGGCGGTAGCCATATTGATTTGTTCCTCCTGTTGTGTGTGATCTATCCAGCCAGGATAGAATAACGTTGATTTGTTGTGATTGGTAATTTTTCCTCATCTTCTATCAACTTCTTTATTATTGTAATTTAGATTTAATTGATTGAACAATCATTGGTTGAATAGCCGGGTGATAATATTTGTTTAGGTAATGATTTACATTAAATTTATTATGAATTATAGAACCGCTAGTTACCCGATTACTTGTTCTGATTTCGGCGGGAAAGGGCGCGTATCTAAAAGTCCCCGGTAGGCTATTCTTCAACATCAAAACCGTAGTTTGGATTCTACACAAGGAATGGATCACTGTTGATACACTGGATTAGATTCAAGAAAGGAGGAACAAGAAGGCAGCAATCAATACCAGTCGAACAAGAGCAGAAAAAGCCAAGGCACAAGCTGAATACACAGAAGTAAACGAACAAGTGAAGAGGAGCATCAGAACCGACAAACGTAAATATGCGGAAGATTTAGCAACGACGGCGGAAAAGGCTGCAAGATAAGGAAACATGAGACAATTGTATGACACGACAAAGAAACTCTCTGGAAATCGCCGCAAACGTGAACAACTAGTGAAAAGCAAGGAAGGCGAGGTAATCATCAACAATGAAGAGCAACAAAACAGGTGGGTAGAACACTTCAAAGAACTCTTGAATCGACCAGCTCCACTGAAACCACCCAACATCGAAGCAGCACCCACGGACCTCCCAATCAATGTTGGCCCACCAACAATTGAAGAAATCAGCATGGTCATCACACAAATCAAGAGTGGCAAAGCAGCAGGACCAGACAACATCCTAGCAGAGGCACTAAAAGCAGACGTAGCGGTAACTGCAAGGATACTCCACATTCTCTTCAATAAGATTTGGGATGAGGAACAAGTACCAAAAGACTGGAAAGAAGGACTCCTGATCAAAATACCGAAGAAAGGCGATCTCAGCATTAAACGTCTGTCTGAATAGTTTACAAATATAAAATAAACGGGACCAAATAGACGATGTCACTTCTTAATATCAGAAAAACTTTGAGACCATCATAAGATTAGAAGATCCGACTGTACAGTTTCACAACATACCACAACACACCTGAGTAAACAGTTTAGTTTGTCTATTAATATATCTTAACAAGAAAGCTAAAAATTTAGATCCGAGTCATATTCATTTCGTCCCAACAACTTTAAATAGATTAGTTCAAGGTGTGAAACTTCAGTTTCGGAAGTGCCTGAGGTTGGTTGTATGTGTTAAAACGCACAAGTTCTTGATTTTCACATACTTATGTAGTCGGTTGGATGCAGCTGGACGATTTAGACTTCGCAAATGATCTGGCCCTTCTATCGCACACACAACAACAAATGCAGGAGAAAACGACCAGTGTAGAAGCAGACTCAGCAGCAGTAAGTCTCAACAAACACAAGGGGAAAAGCAAGATTCTCCGATACAACACAACATGCAACAATCGAATCACAATTGACGGAGAAGATTTGGAAGATGTTAAAACCTTTACATATCTGGGTAGCATCATTGATGAACAGAGTGGATCTGATGCACATGTGAAGGCACGGATCGGCAAAGCAAGAGCAGCATATTTACAACTGAGGAACATCTGTAACTCAAAGCAACTGTCAACCAACACCAAGGTCAGAATGCTCATATAGTGACTCACGTGCAATCGAGTTTAGTTCAGTCAATGTCTTTTGTTGACCTATTTAATGGACAAAGTCATCCATGATATAACAACTTGTTGTACTATCTTTATTATTATGCTTGTATGAAATACATATGCTTGAACATTGTTTAGCGCCTACGCGTGTATTCATTCTGCTAGCTTCATTATTAACTGCTTAATCTATTCGCTGACTCATCCATTTTCCTATACATATATATATATGTGTACATTTGCACCCATTCACAACCACAACTACAACTACCACTACTACAACAACAACAACTACTACTACTACTACCACTACTACTACTTCCTACTGCTACAATCGTAGTTCGCTTGCTCATTCATTTTGCCTCTCTGCTGTCTGGTCCGAATTATCTACTAAATAAACTGTAGTAGCTGCTTCTTTTTGCCTTCTGATTTCAAACATCGTTGAAGATTATACGATAACGGTTCGAGGGTGATTAATTAACGAAGCACAGCCACTACAGAATTGGTAATCCCGACGTGAGAACGGGAAGCGAATTTCGGCGAAATAATCAAATCCCAAAAATCCGATTCTTTTCATCTCAATTTGGATTATCAAATGAACTATAATTACAACTGTGGATTTATATTATTATTTTAATTACACTTACATTATTTCGCAAACATTATTAAACGTGACGATTATAATCATAATAAATAACAATTATCCATAAACAATTGATATATTGGTGCAATTTAGTAAGTCTGTTCCATTTTATAAATTGTACCATTTTTTTATTATCATTATTTTTGCCCGTCTATTCTTTCTTGTGACTGTTAAGTTATTTTCGTGTGCTACTTAATTTTTATAAGTATGTCTTATGAAAACACAGTTTCAAGCGTACAGCAAGCCTCGTCCGTGAGGTCTCTTAACCTCCCTGCCCCTTCTTCTAAAATCACAGACCCAAAACTTTGGTTTATAAGACTTGAAAATTATTTTCTCGCTAACCGCATTTTTTTGCAAAAGGATAAGTTCGGCCTGACAAGCACACTACTCCCAGACGAAGTAGCTGACAGCGTTCGAGAGGCACTAGCAAAACCAGACACAGAAAAACCATACGACGTGCTAAAAGAGGCTGTAATTAAAACTCTCTCTCTCAGTGACCAACAAGCCGTCGAACAACTCCTTAACCAAGTACAAATTGGAGATAGAACCCCATCACAACTAAAAAATTATATGAAAAGTCTACTTGGCGATAGACACATTGACAATAATCTCTTTTATCAACTGTGGCTCCGCCGACTCCCTGCAAATATACAGCAGATCCTAGCTGTGGGAGATAAGGATGCTGATTTAGACAATATAGCAAAGATAGCCGATAGAATATACGAAAGAAGCAAGCAAGCAAGCCCTCCACTACACAATGTGACGGTAGACGATAGACTTGATACTCTACAGAAGGAAATAAATGTTTTGTGCCGAAAACTCTCAGAGTTAACGCAGAGAGAAAAGCCACAAAGGTCATCGCGAGATCGTTCGCGTGAAAGGACCCGGTCAACTTCTAGACGACGCACAACTCCCGCGATATGTTGGTGTCATCAAATGTTCGGCTACAGGGCTAGAAAGTGCCTACAACCTTGTAGATTTAACAGGGATAGTAACCGATACCCACGAGTATCAATGGCAACAGCATCAACACACATAATGCCTGAAAATAGTCGCCTCTTTTATATACAAGACCGGACCACTGGCGCACAATTCTTAGTTGACACTGGAGCGGAAATTAGCGTAGTACCTCCATTTAGCGAGGAAAGAAAAAACATTAACCCGTCGTTAGTGCTAAGAGCAGCAAATAAATCAGATATTAAGACATATGGCAAACGGAAATTGTCCCTAGATTTTGGACGTGGCGCTTCATACCGCTGGAACTTTGTCATAGCAGACGTATCGATGCCCATAATAGGCATAGATTTCTTATGTAACTTTGACCTGCTAGTAGACTCTAGACGACACAGACTTATAAACGGCAGTCAAACCACTTCGATAAGAGGAATACTTACGGAAGCCGTTTCAATGAACCTTGTGATAGATAAAAGTCGTGGTGATCCATATAAATTGTTGTTAAGGGAGTTCCCTGAACTCGTAAAAGTAATATACAATAAAGCGGATCTTAAACATTCTATTCAGCATCATATCGTAACGAATGGTCCACCAATCAATGCAAGACCAAGAAGGTTAGATCCCAAAAGACTAGCCATCGCAAAACAGGAATTCGACTAGCTAATGAGGCTAGGCATTATAAGGCCATCGAGCAGCCCGTGGGCATCCCCGCTACATATGGCCCCGAAAAAGAATGGAGAGG